GAACTTGACTGTTTCAACACCAGGAGCAGGCATGGGGGTGGGGGGTGGGGGGTGTATTCCTGGCAGCCCTGGAATTTCACAACAGAAGAGCTGCTTTGAATAAGGTGGGGAGAGGGATTGGAGCAGAATGCTGGGGAACAAAGGCCTTGCTTACCAAGCCTTTGAAAAAGGCTCCATCTTTGGGAGGGGAGGCTTGTCACTGTCTTCTCCTCACCTCTGCCCTAAAGCCAATGAGATTCTGCTGACTGCTGACGAATCACCAGAAACGGCTGATGCCTGACTCAGTTGATGGAAACGAGCACATGCAGGGCCGGGCGGCAGCTGGGTGTGCTGGAGCAAAACGGAGATGGGGAGAACTCAGCCAAGGGCCTCCACCCTCCCTCTGGCTCCCCACAAGTCCTGTCTCTGAGAAGAAGTTGGGGCAAACTCTACAATAGATGGCCTCAGGATGCCTGGGACCCTGTCCAGTGCCCCAAAGCCATCCAGCCCTTCCACAGACAGGCCTTGGTTGTCTCCATTGAGCAGGGGGACACTGAGGCCAGGAGAAAGTCATGGGGCTCCTGAGAAGGGAGGGAGAAGCCACGGGCCAGCAGGCCTGGGAGGAGGGCCTTCCGTGAGGACAGCCAGCTCATTCCCACCCCTTACAGATGGGGGTGCACGGGGCATGGCTGCGAGCATCATTTGCATACTGTGTCTGTCCTGCTGCAGTAAGGGACGTGGTGATGCAGGTGACTCATCCCTGCCTCGTGGCATGACCAGCTTGTCCATCGCAGCAGGGCTGGGCAGAGGGCTGTCTTGAAACCACTTCACACGTTCGGCCCATGTTCCGGACTAGAGACGCCTAGTCCCCACAGGCTGCCACAGCCGACACCCTGTGCAACCCGCGTGGCTGCTGGGCACGCCCTGTCGCACACACTCTTGTGAGCCCGTGCCCTCTCTGGAGGGAGAAGGACTGTGCTGGGGGGCTCACGACCCCCTAGCAACTGAGGTGCAGACCTCTTAAAGCAAAGTCTTGTTAACTGAGTCTTCTCTTGTTGGAGCAGAAACAAGTTTTACTGGTTTTCTCTGACTGTGCTGAGGGGCAGTGTACTATAGTGGCTAAAAGTCAGGCTCCCTCAGGCCCAGCAGATGCTGTAATGGTTCTGTCACTGGACTCCCACATGACCAACCACAGTTTGAGTCCTGGACCCGGCGTCTTGAAACTCACGCTGGCGCGTGTATGTGCCCTATAGCAAAAATCTCTCAAAAGCAAACAAAACCCACAGGCTCCCTGGGTTCATATTTTGGCTTTGCCATCACCTAGCTGTGTGACCTCAAGCAAGTCGTTTACCGTCTCTGTGCCACTAACCTCCCATCTCTTCACCCTGCTTCTTCACCTTCTAGCAGAGGTGGTCCAGACGTCAGCCTCTTTCTGAGGCGTTTCCCTCACCCCGCTGGTCTGGTGGTCTGGTCTAGGGAAGTCTCAACAGAACAGCTCAAGCCCAGCTTTTGTTCTGAGTAGCCGTTCCTGCCCTGAGGGGGAGCTCATGTCTTTGACTTGCCCCACAGTGGAGCTGCAAGCTGCTCCTCCTCCCCTTCGCTGGGCCCCACCCCTGCCACAGCTCACAGCTCATGGATGGACAGGAGCAGGTGAGCAAGTGTGCTGGCCGGCAGTGACCCGAGGGTCAACATGGCCCCCTCTCCTGGGTAAGCATCCCAGTCTGTCCAGGGATTTTCTTAAAGCTCCTCTACTCTTGACTTTGAGGAGAGAAAGGAGAGCCTTCTAGAAGGGTCGACACCACTTTTCTCTTCCCAGCCTTAGAATGACAGGCAAGTGGGTAGCGGTGCAGGTCTGGACTGACCTCCTGCAAGCTTGCCCGGGCGGCTGCAGGCCCCCATCTGTGACATTCGCTGTGGCTCTTGGCACTTGAGACTGCAGGCCACACATACCCTGGTCTGCTTACACCATGTTCATTCTCCCCAGCTCTGCCCCGACCCCCGCTCCCTTATCCTCTCTGGGTCTCAGTTCCGTCTCAATGACGGAATCGCTGGGGGGACTTCTGTGCTCCCTCCAAGAATTGACCTGGGCCGACTGGGTAGATACAAGCCTGAGAGGGCCAAGGGTAAGTCGATGACACATGTGGCAGCCATTCCCACCCCAAACCCATCTTTAGAAGGTGCCCGTGGGGACCAGCAGATACCATAATGGCTTCATCACTGGGCTCCCATGTAGTCGACTGCGGTTCGAGTCCTGGACCCAGTGACTTAAACTCACGCTGGGCACGTGTGCGTGCGTGCCCAAGATCCTGAGAGAAGAATGGAGGGTAAGGGATTGCGGTGTGGCTATCTTCCCTGGGGGGTGATTTCTCACTTTCTGTCTCTCTGTCTCTCTCTGTCTTTCTGGTGAGCGCACACGCTCTATAGCAAAAACCTCTCAAAATAAAAAGAAGGTGCCAGTGTCCCAGCTCCAGCAGCCTGTGAGCCCTGAGCCTACGTAGGAGCAAGCTCAGGTGGGTCTCCTTCTTGGGCTGGCCCAGAAAGCAGAGGACGAGGCCTTATCACTGTGTGAATCCCCGCAGATGCTCATCCATGCCAGACACATGTGCAATATGGGGTGAGGAGGGGCCTACAAACCGGAAATCGGCCCCCTCTGACTCTGGACCAGGGAAGCCAGCACTTGGGTGACCTGTGGAGGAGCCAGCAAGTAAAAGGCCCAAAGGCGATTTAACAGTTATGCCAAACAGACTCCCATGGAAATGCCCAAGATGTCCTTGGACATCCAGGTGGTGCTAATGGAAACTCCCAAGAGTTATGGTCTCCAACCCAACTCACCACCGTGACAGCCAGCAGGCATGGGACCTGGAAGGGTAGTCTGTGTCCTGGGCCAGTCCTCACCATGGCCCGTGCTCCAAGTCTCAGTCCTTGGCAAGCCAATTCCCGCACCTAGGCCGTAGCACACTCTGTCTCCCCTTTCTGCAACTCTTTTCCCTCTCTGTTTTCTCTTAGCTTCCTCATCCCGTTTACATGTCCCTTCTTCAGACCTCCCTGACCCCCAGCAGCACAGAGCGGGCTCCCCAGTATCATCCCTTCTTCACAGCGTTGGGACCACCTCTTTCCTTGCCTGTGTAATTGTTCATGTCTGCTTCTCCCACCAAGGAGCATGCCCACTTTGCTCACTGTTGTGTCCTCAGTGCCTGACACACAGTAGGTGGTCAGGGCATCTACGGCAGCATGCGTGCTTGCAGGCCACTCCCTGTGTGCCCACCACCATACCAACCGGCTTCGTAGTGACCCCAGGGCCATGGTTGAAGTGATGTTGAACAGCTCACCAAGGGCTTGTTCTTCACGCTGCGTGTGGCTCCTCCCCAGCTGGGGGAGGAGGAGAATTTACCTCCATGGGGCCTCCATGAGCCTAAGACTTCAGCTTGAGCACAGAAGTCCCCCCAGCAAGTCCTTCACTGTACAGGTGAGGATGCGGTGAGGATGCGGTGAGGACTTCATATCTCTTTGCATGTCGTTTGCATGACTTAGCTCTGAGCACTGCATTTCCTCTTCAGGTTTCTTGGCTCATCCCCAGATGTGCAGGACTGGGCCTCCACTCCTTTAACTTTCCCCATGACCTGAGCTGACTGGACAGCCACGAGGTCTGCCTGGCAGGGGTGAATGCAGCGAAATTCCTGAGGGCAGGAGCGATAGCGGCCAAGACAAGCGTGATAGCGATCTTGCACTGGAATGCACCGGGTACATCCACCATGGCATGGATGGAACAGTCCCATTGCCACCCCCATTGTACAGATGAGTCAGCTGAGGATCAGGACAGGGAACGCACTTGCCAAGAGCCACAGGGCTAGCAAAGAAGCCAAGTCGAGATTTGAGTTCAGGTCTGCTGGATGCCAGAGCAGGCTTCATCACCACCCTCCTGTCATGACTTCCCGAGGAACCCCGGAAGCCCTCGGTGTAAGGAAGGAACTGAGCTGGCCCTGTGGGGGGCTTCTGTCTGGTACTATAACCCCTTCGTTCTTTCTGATTGTTTATTTATTTTCTCATGAGCAAAAGAGACAGAAGAAGAGAGACAGCACCTGCGACAGGGTCTTATAAGATCCACCCCCAGCCTTACCAGCCATGGATCATGGCATGTGTGTGCTTACCATGTTCAGGGAGGTCTCCAGACATGAACCTGGAACCTTCCCATATGGGTCAGCCTTGCAGAGCATCATGTTACAAAAACCCTTTCTTAAATCTCCTACTGAGTGACCTTTCTGCTGAGCTAAGCAGCCCCTGTTCTCTACTCAGTAGGACGAGAATTGGGAGAAGCACGTAATTTCTTGGGATAACTGGTGGCATCGCCATGCCTCAGAAAAAGGAAAGAAAAATGGCAAAAGTGAAGCTGGGGTAGAAAAGAACAGATGCCTGTGGCCTGGGCACCTACGCGGAAGCTGTAGTGGATGAGCCCTGAGTAGGGTAGATGAGAGAAGGAGGGTGGGGTGGATGAGAGAAGGAGGGTGGGATGGATGAGAGAAGGAGGGTGGGTGGATGAGAGAAGGAGGGTGGGATGGATGAGAGAAGGAGGGTGGGAGGATGAGAGAAGGAGGGTGGGATGGATGAGAGAAGGAGGGTGGGTGGATGAGAGAAGGAGGGTGGGATGGATGAGAGAAGGAGGGTGGGATGGATGAGAGAAGGAGGGTAGGGTGGATGAGAGAAGGAGGGTAGGGTGGATGAGAGAAGGAGGGTGGGATGGATGAGAGAAGGAGGGTAGGACGGATGAGAGGAGGAGGGTAGGGTGGATGAGAGAAGGAGGGTGGGATGGATGAGAGAAGGAGGGTAGGGTGGATGAGAGAAGGAGGGTAGGGTGGATGAGAGAAGGAGGGTAGGGTGGATGAGAGAAGGAGGGTGGGATGGATGAGAGAAGGAGGGTAGGGTGGATGAGAGAAGGAGGGTAGGGTGGATGAGAGAAGGAGGGTGGGATGGATGAGAGAAGGAGGGTAGGGTGGATGAGAGAAGGAGGGTGGGATGGATGAGAGGCAATGACTCAGGATGCAGCCAGGGGCCACGACGTGCACGGAGGACCGCATCCAGCATGCCCTGGAGCGCTGCCTGCATGGACTCAGCCTCAGCCGCCGCTCTGCGTCCTGGTCAGGTAGGTCCGAGGGCCCGAGGGTGCCTGGGAGCCGTGGGGGAGGCCTGTGGATTCCAGTTTGACCTCTGTCTGTGACTTGAGCAAGTCCCGACCTCACCTGGGTGGGCAGGCTCACCTGGGCAGGTGCTCGGCCAGCACCTCTCCCACCGTATCTCCCTCATCCCACTCAGGGCTGCACCTTGCTCTTGGACCTGCTTAGAAACGACTCAAGTGCTGATTCTGAACAAGCAGCTGAGGATTCTCAGGAAGCTCTCCCCGAGAAGTCTCCTGTTTTTTTTGTTTCTAGTTCCTTCCATAACCCCTCCTCTTCTTCCCTGTAGAGCAAGTGAGAGTCTCAGCAGAGCTTCAAGGAGCCGAGACCTCTGTGTTCCATTTCCCCAGGACGAGGAAGGGGGTGTGCAGGCTGGGATGGTCGTGTGTCTGTGACCATCTCTTCTGCATGTGAAGACTTGTCACATCCCTTACCCCCTCACTATCCCCTGAGGTAGTCACCTACTGCTCCTCCAGCACACCTGGCTCCTTCCTGCCTCAGGACCTTTGCACCTACTGCCTGGAGTCTCCCCTAGGAAGAATCCTGCTCAGAGCTGGCTCCTCATCCAGGTCTTAGTTTCAAATCCTGTCTTCTAGACCAGCCCTAGGAAGGGAGCCAGATCCAAGGCTGACCATGGTTTGAATCCCAGTCCTGGTGACTTGAAAAATTTGTGGGGTACATGTGTGCATAGGCCCCAAATCCCCGTAAGATGGAGAATAAAGTATTAAGGTGTAGCCACACCCCATTAGGGGAGTGCTTTCTCCTTCTCCCTCTCCTTCCCTCTTTCGCTCTGGCAAGTATATGCATCCTCTGGCAATTAAAGTCATCTCTTTGAAGAGGGTCTCCCTGACCTTTGGAATTGGACACATCTGGATTAACACTATTGGGTTGTCAGAAGAGTCATGACGTGTTTTTTCTAGGTTTTTCTGTGCAAAAATGCATCATGACTTTTCGACAACCCGGTAGCTCCCATTGGGTGGACAACCTTGTGAAGGTCACTTACCCTCCCAGGACTCTGCTTGCCTTGTCTGTAAAATGAGAATAAAACAACAGGAACTGCCTTCCTAAAGGGAGGGTGGGAGATTCCATGGAGATATTTTGCAAAGGCCCAGCACTGTCTTGGCACATAGTAGGTGGTCAAAAATGGTAACTTTTCTTCTTGCCTCCAACTCAGGATCTGATGGAGCCTAAGCTTGGAAAGGGGGTGGGGGGGGCAGGGTAGGAATTATGAAGTAAAAGAATACAAAAATATTAGACTTTTCCAAATTTGATAAAATCCTTCGACCACTTGAACATATTGTTAGGCATCTCCAGGGCTCTGGAAGGAGCCCACGCATGTGAGCATGGAACTCAGGTGCCATGAAATTCATGGTCAATCCACTTTCACCACTACTGTGCTCTCTCTCTCTCTCTCTCTCTCTCTCGCTTTCACTCTCATTCTCTCTCACACATTGTAACTATACCTTTAATTTTTTGGAGTTCACTCTCGTTGGCTGCAGGGAAATAGAGGCTGACCAGAAAGTGTGGGGAAGTGACAGAGTGAGAGAGTGCTCACTGTAGTTTTTAACATATAAACAAATTTAGCTTCCCCTTCCTGGGCTCCCTTGCCAGGCAGTCCTGGGAATCCCCCTGACCGTCACAGACTCAGCCTTGTGTCTTGGCGTGGAGCTCGCTATGCCTCCTCTGGTTATTCTTCCAGCAATTTCTGCCTCTCATCTAACTTCTCTGCATCTCATGAGTAGAAGGGTGGGGGAGGTCATAGGGGAACAGGGGCCCTGCAGGGGCGCAGGGAGCTGAATGGTGGCAAATGTGTTGGCCTCTAAAGGCCACAGCCTGATCTCCAATCCCCTTGTGACTCGAGCCTCCTGTAGGTGCAGGAATAGGGCGCGGACCTGAAGTCTTGATGGGGCTTGGTGAGGTTGGGTGTGTGTCCAGCATTTTCTCCTAGACTTTCTGACTTTAGAAAAGAATGTTTCAGTGTCGATCCCCCACTTCATGACAGCCCTGCCTGAGGGTGGCCAGAGAGACCCAAACTGACCACGGGCCACTTCCTGTCTTCCCAGCTGGGCTGTGTCTGAACTGCTGGAGCCTGCAGGAGCTGGTCAGCCGGGACCCGGGCCACTTCCTTATCCTCCTGGAGCAGATCCTGGAGAAAACTCGAGAGGTAAGGGCGAGTTGGGAGTTGAAGGGCAGAGCTGGGGTCGGCCTCATAGAGTCAAGAAATAGGTCCCCAAGAATATCAGTCTTGGGGTGCCTGGGCACAGAGGGACTGGCAATATCCCTCACACCCAGGATTTTGTGTTTCAGTGTTGCTTGTGCACTGAGGGTGTCTAGGAAGGAGCGTGTACGTCTTAGCATGACTGTAGAATATGAGCCAGTGTCTTGGGTTTAAGTTGCTTATATTTTTCTTCTTCTTTTTTTTTCCTTTTATGTTTTTGTCATGGGGCAAGTGTGCTCACTAGAGAAAGACAGAGAGAAAGGAGAGTGAGAATTCACCCTCCAGGAGGATGGCCACGCCACAATCCCTTCTCTTCCACTTTCCTCCAGGCTATGGGGCACATGTGCCCAGCATGATTTTCAAGCTGCTGGGTCTGGGACTTGAGTTATGATTGACCATGTGGGAATCCAATGCCTTAACCACCATGCCACTTGCTGGCCCTTTGAATGGCTCCTGAGGACAGACATTTCTTGTAAGTCAAGGTTCTGACTAGAAAGGAGGCAGGAAGTTTTGTTGAATGCCTTTCCTCAAAAAGATTTATAAAAATACAGACGGGCCAGCACATGGCCTAGTGGTTAAGTGAGTTGGGTCCCACATGGCTGACCTTGCTATTCAAGTCCTGGCCTTGGTAGCTTGAGAAATATGCTGAGTGCATGCACATGCATACCCAAAATCCCCATAGGAGAAATGGAGGAGAAAGGGCTGCAATGTGACCATTCCCCATGGAGATTACTTTCTCATTTTCCCTCTCTCTGGCTCTGGCAAATTAAAAAACAAACAAATTTGACTTCTGGCAAATTAAAAAAGGCTTATGTGCCTAGAATCTGGATAGAAGAATGGAAGAGAAGGGATTGTGGTGTGGCCATCCCTCTCCCCCCCCGGGGGGGGTGTGATTTCTCACTTTCCATCTCCCTCTCTCTCTCCGGTAAGTGCATACACCCTACGGCAAATCTAAAAAATAACCAACCAAACAAATGGACATGAAAGAGAAAAACTAATTGGAAGATAAATTGAGGCCATCTCTGGCTGTTCAATAAATGGGCTCTAATGATGAAGTAGAGGAGTATGTTTCTTTTTTTTCTTTTCTTTTTTTTGAGAGGTTTTTGCTATAGGGCACGTGTGCTCACCAGACAGAGAGAGAGAGACAGAGAGACAGAAAGGGAGAAATCACCCCCCAGAGGGGATGGCCACTCCGCAATCCTTTCTCCTCCATTCTCCTCTCGGGATCTTGGGCACGCATGCACACGCGCCCGGCGTGAGTTTAAGCCACCAGGTCCGGGACTCGAACCGCGATCGACTATGTGGGAGTCCAGTGACATAGCCATTACGCTAACTGCTGGTCCCAGAAGAGGAGTATGTTTAAGCCGAGCTGGGCGAAGTTTCCAGAACAACTGTGAGTCCCAGAAGAGGATCAGATTCTTTTAAAAAGAATTCTCTTTTACATTTTTCATTTTGCTTTGCTTTACGTACATGACTGAGGTGGAAAACATGTCACATTCTTGCTTAGTTAGTTACCCCTGTAAGAAGAATATCTTGGTTTATCAAGACCCTCAAGGTTACAATTCTGGTATCAGCATTTTCCTGGTGCTTTTATACCCTAATTGGAAGCAAATCGCTCAGAAGAGCTGACCCTCTCTGAAGCGCTTCACTTATAGACCCAAATGGAGAGGGAGGACTGACCTCCGTGTAGCAGCAGAGGAGAGTTTTGTAGAAGGGACAAAGCAGTGGGTATGGCGGCCACGCCATCTATTCAGGAGGAAGAGAAAACGGGATTCGAGATCTGAGCCTGCCAAGGTAATCTAGCACAGAAGAGAGGGTGGGCTTTCTCTGTGTCTCTAACCCTGGCAAGTTCCAAAAGACCTTTAGCATTTTTAAAATGTGTATGTATTTATTTCACGAGAGAGGGAGACAGAAGAGAGTCAGAGACCCTTGATAGACAGGGTCTTGCCACACCATCATCCTCCTCCCACCTTTTCAACCAGCAAGGGACGTAGGTGCACCCAGTGTGTTCAGAGGGTTCCGGGATCTGAACCCAGGGATCCTATGGTTTCAGAATTGCCCAGCAGCACGCTACCACCTGCACCACCACACCTGGGCCTCTTGCATTTTCATCAAAGAATTCTAAGTTGTGTGTACACGTGTGTATGTGGTGTCAAAAAGATGATTCACAAAAGAATAAATAGAACTTGTAAAAAAAAATGAGAAAAAGTCACCTCCATTATAATAAGATAAATATAAATTAAAGCTTTAAGTCTTTGCCTCGCAAACTAGCCAAAAACTGTAATAACCAACGTAAGAAGAATGTGGCGAAACTGGCCCTTTCATACATACAAGATATTATAAATGGCTAAGTCCTTTCAGAAAGTGATTGGATAATATGTCTCAAAGATCATAAATACGCTTACGTTTGATTTGTTGATTCTACTTCTTCAACTTTATTGTAGATAAATAATCCAAATTATAGAAAAACGAATATGCACCATGGTGTTCATTGCAAAAGCATGTAAAATACCAAGAAAATAATTTTGAATGACTACAATGAAGCTAAAAAATTATGGAGATCTTCCAGAAGGAATTTTATGCAGCTAATAAAAATGATGGCTGCTGAGACCAGCAGATGGCACGTGGTTATGTAGCTAGACTCCCACATAGTCAATCACGGTTCGAGTCCTGGATCCAATGGCTTAAAACTCATGCTGGGCACATGTGCGTGCGTGCCCAAGATCCCGAGAGGATGGAGGAGGAGGGATTGCAGTGTGGCCATCCCCCCTGGGGGGTGATTTTTTGCTTTCTGTCTCTCTGTCTCTCTAGCAAGTGCATATGCCCTATAGGAAAAAAAAAAAACAAAACAAAAAAACAGCTCTTAAAAAATGATGGCCCTCATCCAAGTGTATAAGCAGAATTTAATATATGATAAAATGGCATCAGCGAGATGTCTTACATGGTTTAGAGGAAGCTGACTAACGTTAGAGATATACAGGATGAGATTCCCAGTTCATATAATACAAATTCTAGATTAAAGATTTAAAATGAAAATGAAGCTCCAAAGAATAAAGTAGATACAAATCGTTCCATGATCCTTGCATGCAAAAGTAAACATCCACAAAGAAAAAATTAACACTTGCAATTTTTATACACACAAAACTCCCCCCAAAATTAGAAGATAACAAACTGAAAAAAGTATTTGCAGTACAAATAACAGATAGATGTTTCTTCCCAGGAGGGAAGAAAAGGTGGTTTGAAAGCGATACAGTGGAGCCAGCAAGTGGTGTAGTGATTTAGATGATGGGCTTTCCCATGGCTGAAAGCGGATCGAGTCCTGGGCCTGGTGGCTTGAAACTCACACCCAGGGGCCGGCAGGTGGTGTGGTGGTGAAGGCGGCTGGACTCCCACGTGGGTCACTGTGTTTGAGTCCTGGACCTAGCAGCTTGCTTTCTAACTTTCCTTTCTTCTTTCTGCCTCTCTCTGCTCAACTTCAAAAAAATAAAAATAAAATAAAATAATGACAATGAATAAAATGAAATAAAAAATTAGTTTTTAAAAAAAATAAAGAAAGAAACTTATGCCGGCACAGGTGCCCAAAATCCTGAGAGGAGAATGGAAGAGAAGGGATTGTGGCATGACCATCCCCCTGGGGGATGATTTCTCACTTTCTCTCTCCCTGTCTCTGTCTCTCTGGTGAGCACTCATGCCCTATAGCAAAAAAATCTCTCTGAGAGAGAGAGAGAAATGTAGTAAAAGGGAAATTTCCTTACCATACTGTATGTAAAGGACATTAAGAATAAAAATATGAATACTATGATTATACTTTGCAGAGGAAAGAACAGAGTAAAAGTGCATGAAAAGAAAGAATAGCATGAGAAAGTGCTGCTATATTCTGCCTCAGGGAGCCCTGCATTTCTTTGTCCTCCCCACAGGTCCAGGAGAAGGGGATCTATGACCTCCTTGCCCCGCTGGCCCTGCTCTTCTACTCCACTGTACTCTGTGTAAGTCCAGGGTGGGCCAGGACAGGGCAGGCGAGGGAGGTGAGGGAAGAGCAACCTCCATGGAGGGCACAGCCCTCACACCTCTGGGGATAAACATGGAGAAACTATCAAGCGCTGACAAGAGAGTCTCAAGCCTCTGATGGCTTCAGAGCAGCCATCTTGAGAGCCTTCATGTGCCTGGCCTGCCATTGTGCCTGGCCTCCCTGGAGGCTGGCTTCACAGTTTGTTCATAAGCCACTAAAGATTTTATGTCCCTTGATTTTTTTACCTCAGTCATCAGTGTCACCCAATGTGATCACCCCTGTACTCACCAGACTGGTGGCACCACGAGTCCATACATGAAGTCCATCCAGCTCTATGAATAAACATTTGCCTCTAGTGAAAATAATTAAAGGAAGGTGGTTTAGGCATCTAAGACCATCCCTCAAAATGAGTGGCTGCAATGGCACCATTTAGAATAACCTCCAAAGTGACCCCAGAGTGACTCTTTCAAGTGTTGGGTCTTCTGGGGTCTGTTTGGTAAAAACAAGGCCCTTCCAATAGAGACACCATTGGAAGCCATCTTGCCCATCTGTAACTCATTCCCTCTGGGTAAATTCCAGTGCTCCCTGACCTTATCCTGGGATACGCTGCTGCCAGGAAATGTGTGCCCTTTGTGGAATCTTCCAGAAAGGGAACAGAGGCTGTTCTGAAATATCAGTGAGCTTTGTTTACCTAGACTCTCTGCTTGTTGGCCCTTGTCCATCCTAGACACCACACTTCCCGCCAGACTCAGACCTCCTTCTGAAGGCAGCCAGAACCTACCATCGATTCCTGACCTGGCCTGTTCCTTACTGCAGCATCTGCCAGGAACTGCTCACCTTCATCGATGCTGAGCTCAAGGCCCCAGGTAAGTGTTGAGGTAGCCAGCACATGGGATGGTTCACATGGTCAAGATACCTCAGCTCTTCTGAAACTGTTCCTTGAAGAATCTCCTCTTCACCCAACATCCTTTGGTGCCTCTGTTTATACTCTGCTTCCAGTCCTTGGAGTCTCCTCTTCACAGTGCACAGAGCCTCCAATGGCTGTGTCTGTACAAGCTGAAAGTTGTAAGCATGGGAGGCAACTTACGGAAGAATTCTTAGGGAAAACTAGAACGAGGGTTCAGAGCAGGATGACCCTACTACTTGACATATACTACTACTTCTTTTGTTTTTGTGTGTGTGTGTGTGTTTTTATAAAAGAATTATTTATTTTAAATTAGTTATTATTATTATTTAATTTGACCAGAGAGAGAGAGAGAGAGAGAGAGAAAGTCAGAAACCAAGCCTCTGTGTCTGAGACTCAAACTGCAGTTGGCCGTGTGGGGGGGTGCCTGGGAGGTGGGGTAAGAGGAGCTCCCATTTGTCTGGTAGATATGCACTTTAGTGGGCGATTGTGCTGAGGCAGCTGCTGACCAGTTTGTGATAACCAGCCCATCTGTGTTGCCGGGGTGCTCACTCAGAGGGGATGTCATCGGTATGCTCATGCCTGTGGATCCCTGAGGACCATGGCTCATCCCTGGTCAGTCCCTTCCTACTGAGGTCTCTCCTGTCGGCCCATCCCTGTCTCATTCCTACTTTCCTGGCTAGGGCTGGGCCCATTTTTAACCCTACTCATTGATCACTTCAAGAAATCTCTGTTTACTGTGCAGCACCCAGGCAAAACATGCTCTGCAAACTTAACTTGTATATTTGGCAGATTAAACTTGACATTATAGTAAAAAAAAAAAAGGAGTAGAGGGCCAGCCAGGTAGTGTGGTAGTTCAGGCGGCTGGATCCCACATGGCTGACTTACTTCATGATTTGAGTCCCAGACCTGATGGCTTGAAAACCACACTGTGTGCATGTGTGTCCAAAATCCCAAGAGGAGAGTAGAGAAGAGATTGCAATGTGGCTATCACCTTGGGGGATGATTTCTCACTTTCTTTTTCTCTCTCACCCTCTCTCTGCCTCTCTCCAGCTAGTGCACACGCCCAATAGCAGAACTATAAAAATGAAAAACAATTTTAGGTTTAGAAAACAAGACCATGGAAGTAATAGAAGAAAAATAGC